ACTTAACTTCTGCAAAGTTTGTCACTTAATGTCAATTTCAACTTTGATCTGTTTTAGCCTGTGCATATTAAGTTGCTTGATGTCAGTTTTAAACAAGATCTGGTCTTATCAATGCATAGCCACTTGATGTCTGATTTAAATTCGATCTAATCAAGTCTGTACATAGTTAGTACTTGTTGTCAGTTTCTAATTGATCTAATCAAGTCTGTACATAGTCACTTGTTGTCAGTTTTTAATTGATCTACTCAAGTCTGTACATAGTGAGTCACTGGTTGTCAGTTTTTAATTGATCAATCAAGTCTATACATAGTTAGTCACTGGTTGTCAGTTTTTAATAGATCAATCAAGTCTGTACATAGCTATTCACTTGTTGTCATTTTTTAATTGATCAATCAAGTCTGTACATAATTAGTCACTGGTTGTCAGTTTTTAATTAATCAATCAAGTCTGTACATAGTTAGTCACTTGTCATTTTTAACTGTTCTAATCAAGTCTGTACATAGTTAGTCACTTGTTGTCAGTTTTTAATAGATCAATCAAGTCTGTACATAGTTAGTCACTGGTTGTCAGTTTTTAATTGATCAATCAAGTCTATACATAGTTAGTCACTGGTTGTCAGTTTTTAATAGATCAATCAAGTCTGTACATAGTTCGTAACTGGTTGTCAGTTTTTAATAGATCAATCAAGTCTGTACATAGTTATTCACTTGTTGTTATTTTTTAATTGATCAATCAAGTCTGTACATAGTTAGTCACTTGTTGTCATTTTTAACTGTTCTAATCAAGTCTGTACATAGTTAGTCACTTGTCAGTTTTTAATAGATCAATCAAGTCTGTACATAGTTAGTCACTGGTTGTCAGTTTTTAATTGATCAATCAAGTCTATACATAGTTAGTGACTGGTTGTCAGTTTTTAATAGATCAATCAAGTCTGTACATAGTTAGTCACTGGTTGTCAGTTTTTAATAGATCAATCAAGTCTGTACATAGTTATTCACTTGTTGTTATTTTTTAATTGATCAATCAAGTCTGTACATAATAAGTCACTTGTTGTTGGTCTTTTATTAATCTAATCAAGTCTGCACATAGTTAGTCACTTGTTGTCATTTTTAACTGTTCTAATCAAGTCTGTACATAGTTAGTCACTTGTTGTCAGTTTTTAATAGATCAATCAAGTCTGTACATAGTTAGTCACTGGTTGTCAGTTTTTAATTGATCAATCAAGTCTATACATAGTTAGTCACTGGTTGTCAGTTTTTAATAGATCAATCAAGTCTATACATAGTTAGTCACTGGTTGTCATTTTTTAATTGATCAATCAAGTCTGTACATAGTTAGTCACTGGTTGTCAGTTTTTAATAGATCAATCAAGTCTGTACATAGTTAGTCAATTGTTGTCAGTTTTTAATAGATCAATCAAGTCTGTACATAGTTAGTCACTGGTTGTCAGTTTTTAATTAATCAATCAAGTCTGTACATAGTTAGTCACTTGTTGTCATTTTTAACTGTTATAATCAAGTCTGTACATAGTTAGTCACTTGTTGTCAGTTTTTAATAGATCAATCAAGTCTATACATAGTTAGTCACTGGTTGTCAGTTTTTAATAGATCATTCAAGTCTGTACATAGTTATTCACTTGTTGTCATTTTTTAATTGATCAATCAAGTCTGTACATAATTAGTCACTTGTTGTCATTTTTAACTGTTCTAATCAAGTCTGTACATAGTTAGTCACTTGTTGTCATTTTTAACTGTTCTAATCAAGTCTGTACATAGTTAGTCATTTGTTGTCATTTTTATCTGTTCTAATCAAGTCTGTACATAGTAAGTCACTTGTTGTCAATTTTTAATAGATCAATCAAGTCTGTACATAGTTAGTCACTGGTTGTCAGTTTTTAATTGACCAATCAAGTCTGTACATAGTTAGTCACTTGTTGTCATTTTTAATTGATCCATCAAGTCTGTACATAGTTAGTCACTTGTTGTCATTTTTAATTGATCAATCAAGTCTGTACATAGTTATTCACTTGTTGTAATTTTTAATTGATCAATCAAGTCTGTACATAGTTAGTCATTTGTTGTCAGTCTTTTCTTTATCTAATGAAGTCTCTACATAGTTAGTAACTTGTCATTTTGAAATCTGATTTGTTCTAGTCTATGCAAAGTTAGTCTCTCTATGTTAAATTTTAAAATATAACATCTGAAAAATCTGTAAATTTAAGCAAAATCCAAGTAATATTTATAGAAAAAAACTCTTGTTAAAAGAATACTAATGAAAAAGCAATACCATAAAAGACTGGTTAAAAAATAGTGGTTTCATTCTGAACATGAGTTTTATGTTGTTTTAAGGCAATACATGACATCAGCACAAAGTAACATACAACATGATGTTATATTTAAACAATGGGATTTCCATACATAGCCTTACATACACCAATCAAGCCATATTTGGTTCAAATTGGTCAAGTACTGTAAATTCAAAAATTATTGCGAGGTTTTAATTAATGCGAATAATGCGACTTGTTGATTATCGCAATAATAAGAACTCGCATTCTGGTATCTGATACAGATATCAATATGCAGATTTTCCTGAAATCGCAATAAATAATCTCGCATTTTTGTCCATTCTTAAAAAATCGCAATAATAAATGCACGCAATAATTTCTGAATTTGCAGTAATTAAAAACTAGACAAAGTGATGCCCCCGCACTCCACTCTGAAGTATCTGTATTATAACAAAGTCAATGTAGGAATTTCTTTGAGATATTATTGTGTCTGGGAGACACAAATGATGCCCCCGCAGATGCTTAGTGTTATTTTAGAATAAAATGTAAATGGGAGCACATAGGTCTATGGTTCACTGTAGGAGGAGTTATCACATGGATGCCCCGCTCGCACTATCATTTTCTATGTTCAGTGGACCGTGAAATTTGGATAAAAACTCTAATTTTGCATTACAATTAGAAAGATCATATCATAGGGAACATGTGTACTAAGTTTCAAGTTGATAAGACTTCAACTTCATCCAAAACTACCTTGACCAAAAACTTTAACCTGAAGCAGGACAGACGGACGGACAGACGAACGAAAGAAGGAATGAACAAACGTATAGACCGAAACACATAATGCCCCTAGGTGGGGCATAAAAATCAAAATCCTGACCACGGCCAGCAAAGTGAAAACTTCCTAGCATTCAAACTGAAAAAGGAGTTATGCGGAATAACTATAAGGTTATGCACCTCTTATACTCCAAACATGACAAAGTTCAATTATCTCGCAAAAGAGCAAATATTAATAAAAATCCAAACCCTAACCACATGCACACCTCCAATATATGTACAAACAGCCAGCAAAGTGAAAACTTCCTAGCATTCAAACTGTAGGAGGAGTTATGTGGAATAACTATACACCCATAATGGGACGGACGGAAGGACAGACGGATGGACAGACAGGGGTAAAACAATATGCCCCCCAACTTTTAGTTGCAGGGGCATAAAAACAAGTGAAAAGTGAAATGGATGACATAAACAAAGCAAGGAATTCTGTCCATTTTTGGTGTTTGCATCAATTGAGAAACAGAGAAAAATCATTAGAAAAAATCAAATCATGATGTTGTATAAAATTTCTTTAGAATATGATAAATTCATACTTCAAGTAATAGTAATTAGAAAAATGTAAGTAAGTATAAGACTTACTTTGTATAATATCAAAGTTTTTCATTTATTTCAAATTAATCAGATTGCATTTTGTCAGAATCAAACATGTTGTGGCAATTCAATTGATGAAATGAAATGGATTATGGCTACCATCTTATCTTAACACTGCACATAAATGAATTAAAAGACAATTTCATTTCCAATGTTTGAGAAGAAATGAAGTTAATCACAGTTTATTGTGTTAACTTGAACAGTAATCGACAAATGAAGCAGTAAATGTCTCCAATTATTCACATACAAAAATCATTCACTTTTATTTCAAAATACAGATATATTGAACAAAAGGCAATTCCTTAAAGGTTAATTATAATCAACCTCTGAAATTCTATTGCATGTATTTTTATATTTTTATATTTGCTCAACCCAAGTTTTATGACCATGCATGGGAGGTAATAAAGTTACTGAACAAAACATGGCCTTATGTGTAAAGTAAAGCTAGGATTTCTGTAGGTTGAATATTCATGTTTTCAGCCATTAAATACCTTCAAAAATGGTCAAAATTGAAAGGGAGTTAGATATAACTTTAGTATTTTTATAATATGTTGACAAATAAACAAAAATATTAATATAACATCAATAAATAAATAATGTCATTATGTTAATGTATTTATATCATCTGGCGTTAATATCAGAATTTCACAGCTCACCCGAGATTAACTGTCCAAGGTTAGGGGAAGGGTTTGGCGCCAGCAAACATGTTTAACACTGCCACATACTGTATGTGCCTGTCCTAAAGTCAGGAGCCTGTAATTCAATGGATGGTGTTTGTTGCTGTTTGTTATATTTTTTTTTCGTTTATTGTTTTGTACCTTAATCAGGCCATCAGTTTTCTCATTTGAATTGTTTTACATTTGTCATTTCAGGGCCTTTTATAGCTTACTATTGGGTATTGGTTTTGCTCATTGTTGAAGGCTTTAAGGTGGTGACCTGTAGTTGTTAACTTCTATGTCATTTGGGACCTTTAGTTGTTAACTTCTATGTCATTTGGTTTCTGGTGGATAGTTGTCTCATTGGCAATACTACCACATCTTCTTATTTTTATAATTATAACAATACATCCATCATCATTCACAAAAATATGAAAAATAATTATGGAAATTCTAAACATTGTTGAAAACTGGTTTAAACCTGTTACAGAATATAAGAGCTTGCCCGAAGTCTGTGAACCCTTAATTTGGTATCTGTGTTTGTTTCTGGTTTTAAATGTATAACTTATAAGAATCATACCAAATCTTCATTCATATTCCAAATATATAAATAAAAAAATACTGCAATGAAAAATTACCTCAAAGAAGAAAGGATAAGCATTTGGCCCTAGTTTCTTGATTAATCTTTCCTGAAGCCTTGTTAATGGTCTTTGTTGGTCTTTAATAGGTGGATAAACTTGCATGGAGGCCAGAAAAAGGTCCTTCCTAAATGTAAGTCCCAAGACATCAAGGTCCTCCCTGCCATAACGGAAAGCTGCCAATACATGTGCAAAAACTTTTCTTTCTTTTAAATAGTCCGGATCAACCAGTACTACACCATCTGAAATAACATTAATTATACATTTTAATTTATATGATATTTTCTAATAAAAAATAAAATGCCTGATCTGACAATAGATTTTTTCTTACACTTAAAAAATTTGTATTCATTTTAATAACTCCACATTCCCTCAAATGACAGTTGAAATTAAAATAACAGTGAGAGTGGGACACAACAGGGTAAGACATATGACCTACTATACATGCATCACCAGTTATATACTGTCAATTCAGAAATTATTGCGTGCATTTATTATTGCAATTTCTTAAGAATTAACAAAAACGCGAGTTTAATTATTACGATATATGTATTTGATAACAGAATGCGAGTTCTTATTATTGCGATACTCAAGTAGTCGCATTATTCCCATTAATAAAAACCTCGTAATAATTTCTGAATTTACAGTAATTAGTTTTACGTAAGTCAAACATATTGACTATACTAAAATCCTAATGGAATTAAGGATTTAAGAGCTGACGAGCATATTTTTTGTTTTCATTATAAAAGGTTTGAGAGCTACCGAGTATTGTTCATTTTCAATACAGAAGGCTTGAGAGCTACTGAGTATTGTTGTTTTCTCATTACACAAGGTTTGAGAGCTACCGGTACTAAGTATTGTTGTTTTCTCATTACAGAAGGTTTGAGAGCTACTGAGTATTGTTGTTTTCTCATTAAAGAAGGTTTGAATGCTACTGAGTATTGATGTTTTCTCATTACAGAAGGTTTGAGAGCTACTGAGTATTGTTGTTTTCTCATTACAGAAGGCTTGAGAGCTACTGAGTATTGTTGTTTTCTCATTACACAAGGTTTGAGAGCTATTGACTGTTGTTGTTTTCTCATTACAGAAGTCTTCAGAGCTTCCAAGTATTGTTGTTTTCTCATTACAGAAGGCTTAAGAGCTACAGACTGTTGTTGTTTTGGTCATTACAGAAAGCTTTAGAGCTATTGACTGTTGTTGTTTGGTCATTACAGAAGGCTTTAGATCTACAGACTGTTGTTGTTTGGTCATTACAGAAAGCTTTAGAGCTCCACAGCATTGTTCTTTACTTATTTCTTTTTTGGTTAAATGTGAATTTTTTTTCACCTGTTCTGTTTTTGCACATAAAAATGGTTAACAAGAATCAGTAAAATATATTTTTATACATTTAAATATTATTTTAATCTTTAGTTTTATGTTTATATTTAATGCTAACTGTTTAGGCTGTGTCCTTTTCTTATATATACATGTACATGTAATGGCGATAATTTGATGTACTACGTAAGATATCTGAATGTTATTGCACTTATATTCTGTTATGATTTAAACACTTAGGTCTTTGCACTGTGATTTGAATAAAGCAATTAGTTTGTTTATATTATTGTTTATCTTATTGCATAATTTATTTTTCAATATCCTATATTTATGTTGATCTGACAGAAACCATTCTGACAGTATTTACAAATAGAGTAATCCTACACAGAATGTCTTACAAAGATGTTGATTTATTTCTGTTTCAACATAAAATACCCTTCAATTTTGAAAAGAATGTCATTCACAATAGTTTTGTAAAAGCAATCTTCCTACTGGGTCTGTACTCCTAGATCTAACATCAGTCTTGTAATGTTGATCTGAATTACCTAAGATTAGAAATGCTTTCATTATAACAGTCTGATTGTACCATAGTGATATTTAGAAACGAAGCCCTGGGAAAATTTCTGTAAAGTTTCTTCAAACCAATCAACACTTTAAAGGATTCATTTCAGCATGATTAACTGATATTAAACTACACTTTAGAGAGTGTAAAATTCAGGCTAAAATTGATTTTTTATTTTAGAAATATTCTGTGAATTATAATTTTATAACCTGTTCATCATATTTCAAGTATACATTGTATATAATGCAAACTTTATGTAATAAATGTAGCATGATCATTTAACCTTATTAATAAATATAAGTTAAGATTTACAAATGTATTAGAATTTTTAGTTTAATATACAATTCTATAATTGGTATGAACTACATTCATTTTTACATGGAACAATATGAAGAATTGAAGGAATATTCATAAAATCAGAAAAAATCAGAAAACATTCATCTTGTATTAAAAAACATCTTGGCTCATACAAAAATAGGTACATGAAACCAGCTTTGACATTAATTACAACCAAAATCCTCAAAATTTTCGTGCATACCATTTTTAACCAATTTTCTAGCAGATCTGTTTTGAAAAATATCAAGTGTTAAAACCAAAATTGCTCATTATAAAAAATAAGGACATGTGGTAGGATTGCCAATGAGACAACTATAAACCAAAGTTCAAATGAACTGGATGTAAGTAATTATTGGCAACCATACAGCCTTCAACAATGAGAAAAACCCATACCATATAGTCATCTATAAAAGGCCCTGACATGAACAACGACAGCCACTGAAGTACAGGCTCCTGACTTGGGATAGGCACATGTTGACTTCAGGTAAACATTTGAATTGTTTTACATTTGTTATGTTGCTGCCTTTTATATCTTGCTATGCGGTTTAGTTTTGTTCATTGTTGAAGGCAATGGGTAATCTATGGTGGTTTAAGTGGTCTGTTGTACTGTCCCAATATTTTTCATGTTTTGGTAATTTCTGAAATCCATTTTAAGTATCGACAAAACCATAAATGGATTAGCATGTTTACTGGATTATCATCATTCACTGTAGAATACTTCCTCGTCTTCAATATGCGTGAAATATTTGCCACTTGACGTAATGCAAAAAACAACTATTAATCAAACTGTACTTGCAAATTAACTTAATAAATACACAAAATTTGTAATGCTAATCAATTTCATCAAAAACTTTGTTTATTCATGTAAAAATGTTCAAGACAATGATTTTTTTTAAAAACTTTATGATGAATACATAAATTCTGTGTGAACAAGAGCATTTATCATCTGTCCTATTGCCTTTTATATTCTTTTTACACTAGTTGAAAATTACAACTGTCCATAACATGATAGAAGTTTCCCCTTATTCACACAAGTACTAACCTATAGGATCTATATGTGTTATGTGGTCTATAAAATCTCTTTTTCCCAGGTAGGCTGTAATCTAAAACATAAAGGAATTGCATAAAATAAATATATCACATTGAAATTATCACATTTTAATGATGTGATAAATAGAGATTATATGGCTTTTTCAATATATTAACACCAGCATCAACCTAAGACACCTATGTAATCCCAAGAACTTTGCCAGGTGGATTATTGATATTGAAAAAGCTATATCATATACACTTAGTCTTTGTTATTTATATACAAGGTGTGTGTCTTTCCCTCCTCTGTACACTTCATAACTGGCACAGTATTAGCACAGCCATAATTAAAGATTTTTATTTGTTTCAATAATGCATGACATTTTGTTCATTTACCTAATAGCATGTTATCATTTCATCAATATTTCAAAACAAAATGGATTAAAAATCCAATTAATGCAATAATAAACTTCATCAGGTCTAAAAACAGATATTGGTGTAGAATGTTCATTTTTAAACATAATTGGTAAATAGTATTATTCTGCAGAATAATCCTGATTATATATATATATATATATTCATCTATAAATTCTTAATTTTCAAGATTTTAAGATTTTTTTCTAGATTTATTTGAAAACACTATGACACATTTACAGTTTGTAACAAAATGTCATAGGTGATAATATATATATATTTAGCATGTGATTAGCTACAAATGAATATGACATTATAAATTTAAATAGATGATTTTCTAATAAATATTGACAATTTCTTATTATAATTCAGTATTGCAAAGTATCAGAAGACCTTCCGTTTTGGCATAGTTTGGATTATTTCTATCACATTGTGGTAAATATTTGTTTCTTAATTCAACTATATCTGAATTTTTACAGATGAATAATACATGGTATTCATCACCAATATGTTCTTTACAAAAGTTACATATTCTTTCTTATTTTGGTATATTATACATTGACCAGTTTAATAAGTAATTTGTAGGTAATTGTAAATTTGCAGTTCTTAATTTTGTAATCCAAATTCTAAATTACTCTGGTAGGCTAATAAGATATTTTTGTATGTCAAAATTCTTTTTGAAAAGTAAATAAAATTGTCCACTTGATGTGGCGTGTAAGTCACTGTATCAATTTTTTTCACTTACATACCAGTACAATATTTGCAAATATATACAGTCACAGTTTGCATTTAAACTAAGTTATTAAAATCAGAACTAGACTGTTAAATAATACATTGAATTTTAATGTGAGCATTGATATTTTCAAAAAATATTTCCCATGAAGCTAGTTTATAATTTATTTGAAGCATTTATGGGCAGTGAATTTAAGAAGTTACTGTAATTTAAATACTGCAAAGGATACCAATTAAATCTAAAGTCAACTCAAAGCAGGGCATCTATCAAATACATAATCTATAATCATGATAAAACTAGTAAATTGAACAGCTGCAATGTAAATAAACTGCTTCGCCTAGCACTGCTGGATACGACCGCAGAGGTCCAACCCTGAACAGTTGGGGCAAAAATGGACACAATATTCAAGCTTGATACAGGTCTGAATTTGGATTGTAATTAAATATTTGACACATCATAGGTTTCTGACACAGAATAAATGTAGTCTAAGAACTTGAAATTGGTTATATGATTTGAATTTATATTCAATTGAGGATTTTGTGCAATACACTGTGCTGTCGCACAATACTTAGTAAATCTGTTTTCAGACTATATACAAAGAATTAGAAAAATAAATTGTGACCCCAAATTTTTCTTTGGAAAATTGACAAATTCTTAAATCTTGAGAAAAAAAAATTGACCTCCCCCCAAAAAATATTTTTTGTTTTGGGCCCCTTTTTGACCTTTAATTCCTAAACGGTTGGGACCATCACCCCCAAAAACAATCCCAACCTTCCTTTTGTGGTATTGAACCTTTTGGTTAAATTTCATAGAGATCCATAAACTTACACTAAAGTTATTTTCCGGAAACCAAATGTCTTCGGACGATGACGACGACGACGTGATAGCAATATACGACCTCAAAATTTGTTTGCTGTTGTATAAAATTGTAGAGTCTTCCTGTACCAAGTCAGGAATATGACAGTTGTTTTCCATTCGTTTGATGTGTTTGAGCTTTTGATTTTGCCATTTGATTAGGGACTTTCCTTTTGGAATTTTCCTCAGAGTTCAGTATTTTTGTGATTTTACTTTTTTCCATTGAAAACATGTTTTGCTTGTTGTCTCCAATAATAGGAGCAGATATAACTTAAAAGGAACAGGTGTTGGAATACAAAAACGATCATAAATTTAAATAACAGGTGCATAACATGTCATGTAGTAGAATCTGTTCAAGTTTGATGGAATTCTAACAAACAGTTTCCAAGAAGTGATAGATTCTTTAGACTGTAACGCTGCTATCATATTCAATTCCTTTTTACTAATTTATTTTCTATTGGGTTTTTTACATTTCCAGCAAAATTATGAGAAAAGTAAAGAAAAACATGAAGCCTTCAGAATAACAAGAATGCAGCACACATAAATCCTTATTGTTTTGTCGTTGTATTGAAAATAATTGGAATGTCAAATATCTTTAGTATGCAGGCATACAACTGAACAAAGTAAAAATTCAAGTGTAAGATACTTGTACTCTAAACAACCAATTATTCAAATTGATAATATTTTGTCATTTTTGTATTAAGGATGCTTAATAATTTCTTCTTCACTCATAATGCCCTTCAGATATTACAGAAAATATCTATTGATTTCTCTCTCTCATCAGAACACAGCAGATAAAATGTCAAATACAATTAACATCCTCTGATCATATGCTGAACCATTAATACCTAGGAATTACATGATAGAGTAAATTGTTTTAATTAGTAAATCATAAATATTTTCATCTTTGAAGGTCAATATACTGCTGTAGTGCAAAACCTTTCACTTCTAAGCTCCAAATCAATTTACAAAAAATATGTTTTGTCATAAACAGTGTCCACACCACATGGAATGATTGTGATGTGTAAATGCTAATACAACTGCATACCAAATGTCATTGACCTAAACACTCAGTGCTTCCCCTTAAACTGACATAATCACAAACTTTAACATGTCAGTGGCGGATCCAGAAATTTTCATAAGAGGGGGCCCGCTCCAGTCAAGCTTCAGTGATTCCCTATATAATCAACCAAATTTTCCCACAAAATCCGCCTCTGCATGTAAACTAAGTAAAAAGTAAAATAACAAAAATACCGAACTCCAAGGAAAATTCAAAACGGAGTTGGGAAATGTATATTCCATATGCAGGTGAAGTTCAGGTATATTGCTGCTAAGGTGGGGGAAAAATTTATAATTTCAAAATTAAAATCGTCTCGTTTGTCATAGATTCTAGTACTGAGATGACCACTTACACCGTCGCGAAACACGTGACTTCGTCGTGATCAGTTTCACGGAAAAATGGCGCCCGTCAAATTATTATTGTTCGCTTGGATGTAAACTTTAAACGTAAGTATTTACATATCATCGTGTTCACACATAGGACCCCCCTCATCATATGCGTATTTTTCGTGCGAATATTTTGATGCATTTAAAGTTATATTTCACTGTTGGTTTCATAGAGAACATTCACAAACTATTTCAGACCTGCTGAAGATTGTTTGGGATGGTGTACACGATATGACCGTAAAATCACTGTAAATCCATTTGTGTGTCTTATTTTCACCAATCGTGTACAAAAGCTTACCCAAATTTACTAATTCATTCATTTAAACTAGCGTCGATGTATATTTTTGACATTATTGCGAACTGACACAATAATATTTTTTTTGTCAATAAATGATCAGTGTACACGATATGTTTAAATGATCAGTTCCATGGTTTAATTCTGAATCAGTATGATAAGATCATATTAGGTTTATCTGGGAAAATGGCGGAAATCCAGTTGAAATTAAACAAGAAATTAAACTCTTTGCCAGAGCAGAGAAGGTAGAAAAAGCTAAATTGGTATATTTAAATTGTTTACATCTGTTTTTTAGGCTTTTAAAGATATAATAAAGGAACATATAACTTTAACTTAACGGAGCTTCGAGATATTTGTAAACTTTTAAATTATAGACAAATTTTCATTAAACAATCTAGTGTAGCCGGTTCAATTCAAAGTGGATCTTTTTTTGTGCATAAGTATAAATTCCGCCGAAAAAAAATTCCAAAGAAAGATAATAGATTTATCTTTCTTAAATATTAATTTGCATCTCTGCTCCCAAAGATAGTTTTTTTGGGGGATCCTAAAAATGGGCAATAATTGCATCGAAAAGAAAAAGCCAAGTGCACCTTTTAATGTTCGGGCGTGTTTGAGTTGAGAATTCTGTCTTGAAACGTTTAAAACAAAAATATTTGCTACATCATCTCGCTTCAGATTCTATTATTGTTATATGATTACACTGCAGGTTGATTTAATAACATTAAAACTTCAAAGTACTTAAAAAAGAAATATTCTGGTCAATGATCGTACTGATGAGTCATAACAGCAGAGTCGGTGTGTTCGAATAACATTTTTTTACTTAAAGTACTTGACGACAGACTTTACAAGTGGATCTTAAAAATGCATAACTTCAGAAAAACTTCATTTGTTGTGTGTGTTATCTAGGATTATTGCTGTCCGTCTGTCCGGATTAGGATACATTGTTTGTCTAGCTATCTCCTCCTACGGTTTTGAAGATACGGTCAGCTTTAATATTTTGTAAGATGTTCAAACACAGAAAGTAGGTGTGCATGGCCACAGGATTTTATTTTTTTTACAAATTTTCTGGAAAAGACAGGCAGTTGGACTATTGGTTGTTTGTTGTACTACATGTAGCTGCATAAACAGATAATGGTTTGTCCTCCTTCAGTTACATCATCATACAAATTGTTAAATTTATAATTTCTTATGGTCAGGCGGGGTCATCATTTGTGTCTTACAGACAGCGTAACAATTTGAAGTTGTATGCCAACATCACTGTCTAATCTAAAATATGTGGAACTATACTCGTGCATATGGCAGAGCAGAAAGTGGGATGGGGGTATTGCCAATATCTAGTTTTCTCTGATTATAGGTCCCATTATGCGGAAAAAACAAAGCTTTCACAGCAACTCCAAAAGCATCGAGAAAAAACTGTCAGACAGCCAAAGAGTTAACCAAATAGACAATATCAATTTTGCAACATTACAGACAGGAATTTAATGAGGATATTATAAAAATCGCCATACACTGTCACAATACGAGAGAGTGCGAAAGATATCAGAGGGACATTATCCTTCTCCAAAACGTGAGAAAGTACAAGGGCACACAAAGCGCTCTGTATTCATTCCAACCAAATGTTCGTTAACAGTAATATATTCTCCTTTGCCTAAAAAGGGAATACAAAACAAAAGACAAAACGTGCACTCTGCAGTTCATCAATATTACAACCACAAACATTAAATGTGATCTTATCATACTGTTTCAGAATTAAACCGTGGAACTGATCACTTAAACATATCGTGTACACTGATCATTTATTGACAAAAAAAATATTATTGCGTTCAGTTCGCAATAATGTCAAAAATATACACCGACGCTAGTTTATATGAATGAATTAGTAAATTTGGGTAAGTTTCTGTACACGATTGGTGAAAATAAGACACACAAATGGATTTACAGTGATTTTACGGTCATATCGTTAACACCAACCCAAACAATCTTCAGCAGGTCTGAAATAGTTTGTGAATGTTCTCTATGAAACCAACAGTGAAATATAACTTTAAATGCATTAAAATATTCGCACGAAAAATACGCATATGATGAGGGGGGTCCTATGTGTGAACACGATGATATGTAAATACTTACTTTTAAAGTTTACATCCAAGCGAACTATAATAATTTGACGGGCACCATTTTTCCGTGAAACTGATCACGACGAAGTCACGTGTTTCGCAACCGTGACTTATGTCAAATCGAGGTATAAGTCTAAAAATGAGGCAGAGGAAGCTGTGTCTGTTTTTCTTTAATTTCTAGTTCTGGAGGATATATTAATGGAACCCAATCAGAAAAGTTTGGATTGTAAATGGTAAGAACATCATCAATATATCTGAATGTGAAATTCAATGATCTGGCTTCTTTGATCTTCTTGTTTTTGACATTAGTGTCTGAATGAACTACAATTCATATCATTATGAAAATAAGAAGAGGTCGGCCAGGAGAGGCACACAGTTCGTTCTCATAGGAATGCCGACAATTTGTTGAAAAGTCTACCTCCAAATTCAACGAATATGTTGTCAATAAGAAACTCCAGCATACTTATCACTTGTCCCTCTGTGTACCTTTTTGTTCACTATTAACAAAATATGCCGTATGGTATCCCAAAGCACTAAATGTATAGCGTATGCTACTATTTTTATATTGAAAAAAATTGTGGATTATTTCTTTATTAAGACGATTTTTCAATTTCAAATGGAGCATGGTGGTATAAAGTGTTGTAAATTTCAGAGAGAGATCAAGATTTAAAATTATCTAGAAGTTCTTTTAGAGTTTTTTAGAATCCATATATGGTTAATTCCACTACACCAGTAAATAGTTTCACAGTATTTCATAGTAAGTTTCAAAGTCAATATAAATCATGACATAAGAGGCGGACCAAATAATCTCCATGGAAATGAGATGTTCAAATGCTTTTAAAACTGCGTACCAATTTCATGGACCTACTATTAGTGAAGGCCCTTAAACTGACCTACTTACAAACACATTGTTGCTGTTAACAGCACGCCTAAGTCTTACATTGTTTACTTAGTTGAGGCAATACAAAAACTAAATATTGCAAGAAAACTGTGTTTTTAGGTTGGGAACTTCTGTCAATACACCACTTCATTTTGCAACAGAAAATTTATCTTATACACCATAATTTGGAAAAAAAAATGTACTAATTGCAAAAAGAAAAATAAGGCAAATTACAATTAGGTTTGACTGTTTTCTGTATATAGTTTGATAATTTCCAAAATTTCGAAAATCAATACTTACTTTTGCATTTGGACTGCTTTTCTTGAAAACTCTGAAAAAGAAAAATTTATTTCATTAAAAGTTGATTATCAGATACAAACACTCAAGTTTCACGTGTAAACCAATCAAGATGGTCACAAATTAGGAAACTTTCATAAAACACTGGCCGTATTGGAAGATCATGGAAAGCATTATGCACTGGTTTGAAATCCTTAATTTAACTACTTGTAATTGTACATTATTTGAACGCATATTAACACAAACAATAACCTTCCAATTTATGTATGTTATCTAAATCTTTATCTGTGTCATCAAGGTTATGGAATAGAATTGAATAAAAAATCTACACTTCAGAAATGCTCAATCATAAAATTTTCCTATACTGTAAATTAAGAATTTTTTTTGATAATTTTATAAAAGCATACAAAAAATTCTGCATTTACAGTAAATATATTTTACAATAAATTTACTGCATTTTACATATCAAATATAAATGTCATATCTAATACCATACCTTTAAATTACCCACACTGATTCAAGATAAGGCGAAATTTAGGATTTTGAAAGGGGATCCTTGGCAAGACAACATTAGGAGTCAGACTTTAAAAAGTTTATGCATTTACACCATATATGTAGCTTCTGATATACAGCAAATTCAGTATCAAGGATGTTAGCTGCTCTGTTTCAAAATAACAAGCTTTTTAAAAGACTGTTATAACTTGATAATGTATAAATAACCAAACTAAAAAAGCAGAAAAAAATTTGACAGGTCCATGTCCTTGTTTTTGAGATATAAGACATTGTTTGGTGGTAGATGACTCTCTCTAGATTTTTCATTTATTTACCATTGGCACCTTTTTTTCTTTCAAAAACTTTTAAGGAATGACTGTAATATTTTTTCTGTCTATGAAGAAATAACATCAAAAATGTGGTGCACACTGAATAACCCGCGTAAAGTGTGCACCACATTTTTGATGTTATTTCTTCATAGACAGAAAAAATATTTACAGTCATTTCTTATAATTTAATTCTAAATTCCATTTTAAACCGGAGTAAACCATGAAAAAACGTTGATGACGTCACGGTCACATGACAAAATTATGTCTATGAGCTGATAAACAAAACAACGTCAGCCAATCAGAAGACACGTTACATCCAAAATTAAATTATTGAAAAATAACAAGGATTTTATAAGATTTTCTATATGGATAGACCAGTGGAAAAAGTTCCAAGTATCTAACAAAAAGTCAAAAACAAGAGCAGCAAACATTTCTGAATTTGTATATTATGCAAATATATACCAGGATAAAATAAAGGAGAGATTTCATAACTTATAGTTGAGTTTTAAATGTATATTGATATGTTCTGGACCTTAACTAACCTGTAAAAATCATGGATGTTGGTTTTGAAGATCAATAAATATTGCATTGTCAAGTCAAGTGCATCAAATATGTCTTTTATAATGTCACAGGTATGGTAGAAGGCACAGATATTATATAATAATGTCATTACTTTATTCACTTATATAAATGTAAGCAGAACTTGAACACTTTCTGAAGTGATGCTTAGATGTTAATTGACAGAAATGTTTTTTTAGCATTCTGTACTTGTAAATGTTTTTTATCAAGTTTTAATCAAATCTATCCTCAGTACACTCTACCACTATCATATATTTCTCCTACCAACACCCATTAACAAAGTCAAACCTTGTGTTAATGTATACTGGTAAGTAACTTTCTTTCAACTCATATTTTTGCAGTCATAAGACCATTAAAAATAAATTATTTCTGTATAATTCTTTTAATGCAAATTAAATCATTTTATTGCTTTAAAAAGTAGCTTTGGTATTCATTCCAATATAAAACTTTTGAAACATATTTGTAATTTTAGATAGCAGATACATTATTGACAAATTTGTTCTGAATCTGTAAAACGACTAGATAATTCTCTACAAGGCTAGATGACTGAAATTCACATTAAATCTCCCCTTTATAAAGTCGTATAGTCTGTTCTTAAAAAAATGTGATTTGTCACATAAAATATTAACATTTTTGATGTTTATAGTCAAAGCAGCTTGTGTTTGTACAATAAAAGTAACAAAGAGTTATTGACATGTTGCTATTGCAAATTACTCTTTTGACTTATTTTTTTTCCATCTATTTTTTTAATATAGAGTAAATCTCTCCATTCAACACTTCCAGGGGTTAAAAGCATATGGATTATTAATTTCAATTCATGAAATAAACTATTTCCCACAAAGATTTTCACTTCAGAAGTAAATTTTAGCTGCCCTACAGTGGAAAAACGCACAGGTATTGTTTAATACTGTGCATTCTTAATTAACATATAATTGTAGGCAGAACTTGAACACTTGATGCTTAAAGTTAATTGACATACCCATTAAATATATGTAATTAAAACAAATTATGTTTATTTTTAACATTTTGTACTTGTAAATGTTTTTGTTGGGTTTTGAGATGAAATAGTGCTAATCTTAACACTTGACCTTTTATTTGAACTTTTACACTCCTTACTCCACCCTCCCACATTGCTTCCTGCTTCAGTTCATCCCTTCCTTATTTTGTAAAATGTCCAAAAGTAAATATGGACTACAACAGCAAAAATATTTTGAGTACCGTTAATCCATAAAAATAACAATTTCTTTGCTTTTGCATTTTAGAAACATAATATGACAATGGTTCAAAGACCATTTAAAATGAATTATTTCAATTAATTCTTATAATGCAAATTAAATCATTTTATTACATTAAAATTTCATTTAGTATTTATTTATTCCACTTAATAGTACTTATTCATTCAACTTAATAGTACTTATTAAACAATATTTGTAATTTTAGATATCAAATTGAATTACTAACTAATTTGACTAGATAATACAGAGCTAGAGTATGAAAAATAAGCTCATAAAAAAATGAATGCAAGATGAAAAGACACAGACATATCAACACCCTACCTTGTTTTACTTGCTGAAATTTTGAGACTTTCTCCCACATTATTGGCACAAGGCATGTTGGTCAGAGAAACAACCACACACAATGAAGACTTGTTAAACAAATGACTTTTTACTTAATTAACTAATATCATTAACATGTGATACTTTCAATCGGCTTTGTTGTCACGTTGAAGTGTAGTACTTTTCTATTTTCACTGAAAGCTGATGAAGTAACATTAATAAAAGAACAAGTTCGTGACAAAGACCTTAGGTGATTACAGTCAGGTGAACGCCAATCAGCTCAATCAATACACTGATTCTGTTGATCACACTGTTTGTAATTTCTGTGAAAAATGTCAATAAAAAAGAATTCTTGCACATTAATGTTCATTAAAAAGATCTATAAAAATCAATATGTACATGAAGATGTGTAACACTCATCTCACAAACAGTTTCCAATCATAACTTTGTGTTTCATATTTTGTATTGGATTACTATATAAACTGTTTATTTTTTCTCTTGAAGTTTCTTTTTTAAAAATAAGATACATAAGAGAAATGTAATTTTCATAGATCTTCCATGAGCTGATTTTTTTCTTTTCTTATTCTAGGTACTTTAAATCATTTAATTCCATGGATCATTCTATCTTCTATTTGTTTTTTCATTGTTTCTAAAATTTGAATTATGGTATAATTTGTTTGTAGTCTTTAAGGATGTATTCTTCTGACGTTTTAGTCTCGTTGAAATCTCGTTCTGGAAATTATTTCCAAAACATGTGATACCAGTGGAAAATATCAATGAATTTAAAAAATATCATTATCCAACTTAACTCTGTGAAAAAATTGTGTATTTACAATAAGTAGTTTTTGAGTAATAAAAATTTCAAATTTTATAACCAAACAAGTCAGTCTCTTTAGCCAAAATGTCGAGAAAATGGGTGAGGGGTATAAGAAATGATTTTACCAGAAACATGTAAATCCCATATCAATTTTTTCTTTTCAAATTTCTTAGATATGTATTTTTTCAATCATTTATAACAAAGAAGTTGAAATAGTATGCTTTTTGTTCTAAAAACAGAGAAAAATCCCAAATTTACAAAATTGACAGCATAGGAAATTTGACACGAAAAAGCAACAAAATTTTATAATACATGTACTTTCTTATATTAACACCTACCTCTAGTTTTTTTGAGTTAAATCTATTCAGATTGGTCCACTTCATCTTTGAAGTGAAAGTATGAAAAAAAGTTTAATTGTGAAACTGTGATTTTTTTCCTGATAATAGCCCAAAAATGGGTAAAAATTTATGAAAAATGGGAAAATCATCAAAATTGGGTACTTTCAAATGGTCGTAGCAAAAAAAGAAGTGCACCACCATATGATTTTTTCTTCACCAATAATTTTTTTTACAGTCATATAAACCCAAAAATCAGGTTAATAGCAAAAAGTTTAATTCTAGAAATGTTTGGCTCCTCAGAGGTGTTACACATCCTCAACACAGTTAAAATCACAGTAAAAGAGGTAATAAATCAGTTCTTCCAATACAAAAATCAAAAGGAGACCTCTTACTCTGCTTTTACTATTACCAACATGAATTTATTTCTATTTCATAGTTCAAGAAGGACACCAGTGTGAAATTGTATGTCAGATAAAATTTGATTATTTTACATTCTGACATGTCAGTGACTTTTTTTTTATAGTTTACCTACTATTCAGTACATATGTATAGAGGTAATTTTTTTTTCTCAAAGACAAATGCCTGTGGTTTTTCTCATTGTTGAAGGCCGCCTGAGGTGACATACAGTTACTGAAATCAACGTCAACTGGACTATGGTGGATAGTTGTCTCAATGACATTCATACCACATCTCCCTATTTTATATATATAAACAAAAAAGTTCGCAAGAACACTACTGCTACACACTTTCGTGACAATAGTATGTATAGTTTCTATCTAAATATGAAAATAAATCAAGAACTTAGGAATAATAGCTGTCTTAACCAGTTAAATCTGTTGTCATAAAATACATTTAATTAGCAGGAAAGAGAGAGTTGTTGTAACAGCACTATGATGGGAACAATAATGATTGTCCAATTAACA